GTTTTATTAGGAAAAGAAGTTGGTTTAAAAATAAAATAAAACAAAAGCATCAAGCATTCCTCCAAAAAACCGTGAGGCGACGAGAGAAGAGTTGTTGAGTTCCTTGAATCCTGTAGGAAACCATCTCCTGCACCCATATGGCCTTGCACCGAAGTTAAGAGAAGCTGCTCCTGGTGAAAAGTTTGTGTGGCACGAAGGCACTCTCCCATGGAGCAGATATTTCACATGATCCACAAGCTGTTTTATTCATCGTTTTCAAAGAACGCTGCCCCTTGACCCAACCATGGCTCACACCTCCCTTTGGGTGTAGCACACAGAGTCGGGACTGGAGCAGAAATGGGCAGAAATGCAGAGATTGGTTTCAATAAACCGCCGTCCAGTTTGTCATCCTCCTCCATGGTCCAACCCTTGATGGGTGGCAGTGTTCCATGGGAGGAGAAGAGAACATCAGGTCCGCTACTCCAAAGCCTTCTCCTCATACATTTTGCCCCAAATGGTGGAGAAGCTGGAGAGGTTGTGTGGATAAAATGGGACAGACAGGTTCCTGCCCCTTGTGAGCTGCTGTTCATGGTTTATTACACACCAAAGGCAGGGAGAAGCAGGTGGGGGGGGGGGAGATAACAGGGAAAGAAAGCCAAAGTGGAAAAAAGAAACAAACAAAAAAGCACCCTTAAGAACACTAGGAGAATTTGGAAGTGGTGAGGTGCCCCTTGCCCTCAACTGCAGTCTTTTCTCCTGGGTTTCGGTGAGACCCGCGGGTGCACTAATCTTCATCCGCAGTCCTGAAGCAGGAGAAAGGCCTTTCTGGAAAAGTTGGCATCTTTAGTCAATGCTTTATTAGGACTTTCTCCCTCTCATTATTATTATTATTATTTTTTGGTTTTTGTATTTTTTTCTTAAGAAAAAAAAAAAAAGAAAAGAAAAAAAGAACGGCTTAGAAAAATCATCCCTTGAGTCACCACTGTCCTGGGTGTCCCCCACCACGCGCGTCTGTGAGCCGGTGCTTGGCTTTCTTTCTTCCCTTTTCGAGCCCTGGGGTAGTGATGGGGTCCGGTGTCCGGTGAAGAGGGAACGTGAAAGTTACATTCGCGAAGACGGGCTGGCCAGCTCATAGAAAAGCAGGTAGGCGTCACTGCTCCGGACGTGACTCGAGGAGAGCGGTGTGACACTGTGGGAAGGAGAGAAAAGAAGGGGGTCAGGTCTTTAGCAGCGGCACGCATGTGCTTTCCAAAGCAGTGGCGTCGGTTTGGTGGTAACTCATGCACAGGGTGACCAGATATCCTAACTGCCAAGGTGGGCAAGGCACCGCAAAATGTAAGATGTTCAGGAAAAATGTAGGACATGACCAAAGAAAAGCTAAAATACACTTAAGAGAAATCTAAATTCATTTCACATAGTTTATTTTGCAGCTATATTACATATACTGTAATATGTAGTCAACCGTGTTTTTCTGATGAACTTATCTTTACTAAAATGCCTTGTTGGCTTGCAATTTACTTAAGTACTTTGAGTGAGACAAATGTTTAAAACTGTACTTTACTAGCAATCAACCAAACATTGACTTTTTGCAAAAATGCAAAAAGTAAGGCAGTCAGGAAAAATTTGGATATGACCAAAGAAAAGCTAAAATACACTTAACAGAAATCTAAATTCATTTCACATAGTTTATTTTACAGCTATATTACATATACTGTAATATGTAGTCAACCGTATTCTTCTGATGAACTTGTCTTTAGGAAAATGCCTTGTTGGCTTGCAATTTACTTAAGTACTCTGAGTGAGACAAATGCTTAAAACTGTACTTTACTAGCAACCAACCAACCGTTGACTTAATCTACATTTAAATTGTTCCTTTCATTTGTCCATGCTGAAATTAAGGAAAAAACCCTTTCAGCATTTGAAGCTCTGGGGGCAAGTCTTGTCTGCTGCTGCTCCTAGGAGAAAAGAATCTTAGAAGGATCCATCCTATCCCTTTATTTGCAGTGAAGACAGGCTGCCAAGTAGATGCATTTCTTCAAGGGGAACTGCAAATGTGGTGCTATTCAATGGGTTTCTTAGTGATGATTAAAATGGAGGACATTTTGGAATTCCTCCTGGAAAGATGGTTGACATGTAGCGTATATCCTGGAAAAGGAGGACATCTGGTCACCCTGCTCATGCTGTCCCAGAGCATACACTCTACTCCTGAGCTATATACACTCCAAATTTCCCAGTTTGACAAGGATGGTCTCAATTAATCCTCTGTTGGCCCACTTTTTCAGCTAACCTTCCCAGTTTCTATGCCTTCCCTCTACTTTCCCCCTTTGTTCTCAGCTTATTTCCATTGCTGCAAACTGAGCTGAAAGTGCAAAAGTATTTTTCATTCAGTCAACTCCGCAGGGGGAAAGGAAAGAGGAGTCTTGTCCTTCCCTGTTGGCTCAAGCAAAATCAAACTGCTGCAGCTTCTCCTAGCTTGTCTGTCCTTCCTCATTAATAACCTTTGCCATGCTGACCATGCTCTGATGTTGTTTGGACACATGCATCCCCTTTTTGCATCTGGGAAACATTGGAGGGTATGAAGCCAAGGTGGCAGCTTTACCGTGAGTCGTTGAAGGCATGCCACTCTCCAGAGACAGGGTTCTTGCAATAAGCTGTGTAGTGACCTCCCATGGTGGTTCCACTGTGATTTGAGACAGCATACAGATTGTAAATAGCATGGTCTGCAGAGGGAGAACAAAGCAAGACATGCATCATTATTTTCCTTTTTATCAGAGAGAACCTGTACCAATAGGTGGGAGAAACCTATGGCATTCCCATGTTGGAGTGCAGCTTCCATCAGCCCTAGCTAGTAAAGTCAATAGCAAAGAATGTGGCATTTGCAATCCAGCATCCGGAGGGATCTACCTTCCTCTTTCCTGATCTATACATTAACTTTTTTACATATAAAAAAGGGCAATCAGGGTGGAAGGTATATGTATCAGAAATATCCAGAACACCATCCTCTACCCACAACATTTTGCTAGTCTTCTTCTTTTAGAGCTTTCTGAGTATTGCCTAGAAATGTTGCTTTCCCCCCAGTGTGGTGAATTCACCAAGAAATTCACCATTCCTGAATGTCCAGCTACAACACCCATGTCTCCCTGCCTCTAGCTTTTCTAGAAGATGCTCTGACATGGGGCATTAAGGTGATAGTCCCTTCCTGTTTTTATCTGCAAGTCCCTAATATTCAGAGCTATGCTGCCTCTGTTAAGGGAGGTCCAGTTTAGCTGTTTTGGGACTTTACTACACAAGGCTACAAAGCAAAGTTTTAACAGGATAAAAGCATTTTTTTGTCTGGAACTTATCACAATGTTGTTTCTGTCCTGCTGCTGCCTTGCATTTCACTTGTTAGTATAGCACACCTTTTCACAGATGGGGCAAACCCATCAATAGGCTTTCATCCTAGCTGCTATTCTATTACTGTCTTTGTGCGATAGGTTCCCTTCTGCTACAGTTCCATTTCTCAGGCAGTCATGTAGAATGAATGGACATGATTATGCTCCTCTCCCCTTCTCTCCCCCTCTTGCAGCAACTGCAGCTTCCAACATCTCCCCAAAGCTGGCTGATATGTGCACATTCACATAGCACACCACTTCGGGAGGCAATTAATAATAATAATAATAATAATAATAATAATAATAATAATAATAATGATCACTTGTACAGCTTGCTGTGTGACTATGCACACTGCAGCCCCATACTTTGGAAATGGGGAGAAGGAGCGATCACAGCTGCCATCTGCTTCCTGAAGCCGGTTGCTGTGAGCACACTCACACAGCATGAAAAGAAATGAATGCAAACTGGTATGCTACCATTCTTAAACTAGTGCAATTGTAGCAGGATAGCTGGCTGGTGTGATGAAGTCCTTGATTAGCAGGCAGTCATACTGTCAGGGCAATCTTTCATCCTATGATAGCTCTCTTCATCTCTCTTAGACTCCCTCCACTCATCCTGCCTACATAGCCATTCCTTCTACCTCCTTCCCAAGATACTCACTGCAGCTTTGAGAAGCAAATTCTCTCAAGTCCAGATCCTTGAGTGGGAAATTTACAAAGGTGGTGAGCTTACTGGATCGCATCCTGGCTTCGGAGAAGCGTTTCAGGTCTGGGTGGAAGATGTTAAGGAAGACAAAGAAGACCTACAAGTATGGGCTTATTGAGCGATGTGAGAGTGGGACTTTGTAGGGCAAGAGTAGGGCATCTCCAGTTCCGGTTGTATTCATATAATTTGGGTCCACTCTAAACCAATGAGGACCAGATCCCATGCCTATCTAAACTGGGGGAAAAAAACCTTTAAAGCTTAGATCTCCAAGATTCTTGGGCTTAACACAATGTTTTACACTTGCACCGAGCTGTTGCAGAACAGCTAGCCGCGTTCACACTGAGATTAAAATCTGGATCAGACCAGAGGTCTAGTTAGTTCAGCATCTTGTGGCCCACAGGAGCCAAAATCAGCTGTTCATAGGAAACTCAAAAGCAGGAGGGCATCACTGCACCCTCCCACACATGCTCCTCAGCAGCTTTTACTGTGAGGCACATTGCCTCTGCAAAATGGAGCTCATGCATAGCCATGGTGACTAGCACAGTCTATTATTGGTGGGTTTATTCTGCCCCTCACTGTGATTCCTTTGCTATCGTGGGTCTCATGAGGACACATCCACAGGGAAGGGAAAGGATACGTAACACCAGGATCTTTGGGAACCTCTGGATGCTAAACTTCTTTGTGCATTTCGTCCTGGCCTTGCAGTGGCAGCAGGTCTGGAGAGAGAAAAATCAGACAGAATTAGAGAGCAGGAAGATACCACTAGAGCATTGTTGTTGTTGATGATGTTGTGTGCCTTCAAATCATTCCCAACTCATGGGGACCCTAAGGCGAACCTATCATGGGGTTTCCTTGGCAAGATTTGTTCCGAGGAGGTTTGCCATTGCCTTCCCCTGAGGCTGAGATAGTGTGACTCGCCCAAGCTCACCCAGTGGGTTTCACAGGCAAGCTGGGAATCGAACCCTGGTCTCCTGAGTCGTAGTCCAATGCTGAAACCATTGCACCTCTCTAAGACTTTCTAAGCCCTCCAGGGTAACCCTGTGGTCAACATCTGCCAGCAATTGACCATAGAATTGCACTGAAGAACCTACAAATGCCTAGAGAAGAGTTCTCTCTAGGAATGGCTAGGTCCTCCAGCATGACTTTTGGTGGAAGTTGACCGTAGAGTCACCCTGGAGGACCTAGCAATTCTTGGAGGTAACAAATTAATCAAATACGTGGATAATCAAATCCGCAAAAGTCAAAAGCGCAAATGTGGAGGACCAACCGCAATTCAAGCATTTTGCTACATTTTCTGCCTGAAAAGGTCACTCCTTTCTCTCTCCAAAAGTTAGCATTAGAGTTTTGCAATCTTTTGCCTGAGAAGGAAGCATTCATGAAGCTTCTGCCTCAGGATGCCTCTGACACACCTGCATGAGAGTCAGCATTAGGAACTCTTCTACTGAAGTACAGGTAACTTTCTTTGGACTATCTACTTTCCTATTTTAGATGGATTTCTTTGCAATGATGAAAATAAGTTTTGCTTTTTTAACCTCGCCAAAGCATCCTGTATATTTCTATCCTGTTTTATACCCAAAGCTTATGTTGCAATGGGGGCACGCTGCATCCTGCTTAATATAAGCACCAATATTTCCTACAGCTACTGCATTTCTTTGTCGTTTCCCTTCCCCTGGTTCCTATGTGGATTTTTCCCCCATCTTGGGCTAGTTCCTTACAGGTTTCTCATCTCCATCCAGGATGTCTTCCTTGGTGAAGAGGCGCATACAGTCGATCAAGTTGACCTCCCCATAGCTCTTCTGGGAAAAGAGAGAAAGCGAGAGATGGAGGTTAAATGTACCCAAGGCCAGGGCTAGGACCCATTCACACTACACAAATGCATTGTTATGGTTGCATTTTAGGAAATCCTGGCGTTTGTAATCTGATGAGGTATTACAGCAGTCTAGCTGAGAATGTTCCTCCCTAAACTACAAATCCCAGGATTCCCTTGGAACATTGCCATGGCAGTTAAAGTGGAATCATAGTGCTTTAATTCTGTAATGTGAATGGGCCTCTAGTCTCTTTCATATTACACAGTCACAGGTTGAATCTCCCTTATCTGAAATGCTGGGGACCAGAAGTGTGCACTGTATTTCAATTTTGTTTTGTTTTGGATTTTGGAATACCTGTACAGGTGTTTGCATATACATGAATAATGAGATCTCTGGGATATGAGACCCAAGTCTAAACACAACATTTATTTATGTTTCATATATACCTTATACAACAGAGCCTGAAGGTAATTTTATACAATATTTTAAATGATTTTGTGCACGAAGCAAAGTTTGTGTACACTAAACTTTTTTTT